ATAAACGGACGCAACTGATGCAATGTATTTCCATCCAGCTGTCCACTGCAGTTAAGGCGCTGAGCGACCCTTCCCATTGGATAAGGGATAATGTTCCACCCGGAAGTGAGTATTCTCCTCATTGTTTATGGATTTGACAGTGATATCTGCACTACTCATTAACTCAAAAACACCAGATTATCTTTGTTAATTAAACGACATTGATAGGTTTCAATTGTGTACAATGCTTTTGTGTTTCTCCCCTTCAATTCTGAGAAACAGGTAGTTTTAGACGGCATACCTTTGCAATTTACGTGACCAAACCTGGATGAGAGAGTCGCAGTTCTTCAGAATCAAGGTAAGAGCATGGGTAACACATAGTTATTGGAAATACGATAAACTTAGCCACGAATAATAATAATAATAATCTAATCGGCGCCAATGTTGTTTCTGGCACCTTTCTGAGGGTTATAGTAACTAAATAATATAGGGTATTATCCAAATATAACAAATGAATACTAGTTTAAGTAAGTATTGCTTGCACAATTTAAAGTTCAAGTATATATATATTTGTATTAACAATTACTTATATTAACAAATACTGGTGGTTATACATTATTAATAATTATTAATAATACTTTGTAAACATCTTCTCTGAAGAACCAGCACCTTACCGTGGTAGAGAGGTTTGTGTGCCCTGATGAACATGGGGGCTGTGTTGTCTGGAACCTTGTGTTCCTGGTAGGGTCTCCCATGGCAAATTGGTCTCAGGCAAGGGGCCAGACTAAGATTGGTTCAAAAGACCTCATAAAAGACGACACAGGAAGTGAGGATTCCCGTCCCGGAGGAAGCCCGGGGTCCCCTTCTGGAGCCAGACCCAGAAGAAGGACTCGTCGACAAGCGTCTGGTGGCCGGGCTTGCCACGGAGCCCGGCCGGGCACAGCCCAAAAAGGCAACGTGGGCAACACCTCCGCTTCTCCGTACCGCGGGTCCACCATCTACGGGAAACAGCGATGGGGTCGGGTGCGCTGCCAGAAGGGTGGCAGTGAAAGCAGAGGGTCTCGACGGACCAGACCCGGGCGACAGAAGCTGGCTTTGGGGACGTGGAACGTCACCTCTCTGGAGGGGAAGGAGCCGGAGCTTGTGCAGGAGGTGGAGCGGGAGGTGGAGCGTTACCAGTTGGATCTGGTTGGGCTCACCTCTACGCACAGCGTCGGCTCTGGAACCTTACTTCTGGATAGGGGTTGGACTCTATTCTTCTCCAGAGTTGCTCAAGGTGTGAGGCGCCGGGCGGGTGTGGGGATACTCACAAGTCCCCGGTTGGGTGCTTCTTTGTTGGAGTTAACCCCAGTGGACGAGAGGTTCGCCTCCCTACGCCTGCGGGTTATGGGGGGGAAAACTCTGACTGTTGTGTGTGCTTATGCACCCAACAGCAGTTCAGAGTATACGGCCTTCTTGGAGACCCTGGAAAGAGTCCTGTATGTGGCTCCTGAAGGGGACTCTTTAATCTTGCTGGGAGACTTCAACGCACATGTGGGCAATGATGGAGACACTTGGAAGAGCGTGATTGGGAGGAACGGCCCCCCTGATCTGAACCGGAGTGGTGGTTTGTTATTGGACTTCTGTGCTAGTCATGGATTGGCCATAACAAACACCATGTTCAAACATAAGGATGCTCATAAGTGTACATGGTACCAGAGCACCCTAGGCAGAAGGTCCATGATCGATTTCGTTATCGTATCATCGGACCTGAGGCCGTATGTTTTGGACACTCGGGTAAAGAGAGGGGCGGAGTTGTCAACTGATCACCATCTGGTGGTGAGTTGGGTCGAGTGGCGGGGGAAGCCTCTGGATAGACCTGGTAATCCCAAACGTGTAGTGAACTGGGAACGTCTGGAGGAGGCCCAAGTTCAGGAGGCCTTCAACTCACACCTCCGGCGGAGCTTTTCGGGCATTCCTGTGGAGGTTGGGGACATTGAACCAGAGTGGGCGGTGCTCAAAGCCTCTATTGCCGAAGCCGCGGCGGGGAGCTGTGGTCTCAAGGTCCTAGGTGCCTCAAGGGGCGGTAACCCTCGAACCTCCTGGTGGACACCGGTGGTCAGGGAAGCCGTCCGACTGAAGAAGGAGGCCTTCAGGGATCTGTTATCCCGGGGGACGCCCGAGGCACTTGCAAGGTACTGACAGGCCCGAAGGGCAGCGGCCTCAGCCGTGGCCGAGGCAAAGCAGCGGGTGTGGGAGAAGTTCGGAGAAGACATGGAAAAGGACTTTCGGGTGGCACCAAAGTTGTTCTGGAAAACTGTCCGACACCTCAGGAGGGGGAAGCAGGGAACCATCCAAGCTGTGTACAGTAAGGATGGGACGTTGTTGACCTCAACTGATGGAGTGTTAGGGCGTTGGAAGGAACACTTTGAGGAACTCCTGAACCCGACAACTCCGCCCTCTATGTTAGAGGCAGAGCTGGAGTATGATGGGGGATCAACACCAATCTCCCGGGGGGAGGTCACTGAGGTCGTCAAACAACTCCACAGTGGCAAAGCCCCGGGGGTGGATGACATCCGCCCAGAAATGCTGAAGGCTCTGGGTGTTGAGGGACTGTCATGGTTGACATGTCTCATCAACGTTGCGTGGAAGTCGGAAACAGTACCGAAGGAGTGGCAGACCGGGGTGGTGGTTCGCCTTTTCAAAAAGGGGGATCAGAGGGTGTGTACCAATTACAGAGGCATCACACCAGTCAGCCTCCCCGGGAAAGTTTACTCTAAGGTACTCGAAAGGAGGGTCAGGCCGATTGTCGAACCTCAGATTGAGGAGGAACAATGCGGATTCCGTCCTGGTCATGGAACGACGGATCAGCTTTTTGCTCTTGCAAGGATCCTGGAGGGGGCCTGGGAGTACGCTTATCCGGAATACATGCGTTTCGTAGACTTGGAGAAGGCGTATGACCGAGTTCCCAGGGAGTTACTGTGGGAGGTGCTGCAGGAGTATGGGGTGAGGGGGTCTCTTCTCAGGGCCATCCAATCTCTGTACTCCCAAAGCGAGAGCTGTGTCCGGTAGTGCTGCACGATTAATCGAAAAAAGATTGTGATCTCGATTCAGACACCTATGCGATCTCATTTCTAAATTACGGCGATCCTATGACGTCATGCTGATTTTTTTATTATTTTGCTTCTGAATAATACCAACTTGCAATGTCAATCATACTTAAACGATGTAAAGCAAATATACTCTATACATTTAACATTAAAGTACCATGATCGCATGCAAATGGTAGTGTTCTGTCTGTCTCTCCTCCTCTCATGCAGTGTGAACGCTGCAGCCACTAGTGTTGCCAGTTTTTGCGGAAGGAATAAGCAACCAGGTCTATGAAAACAAGCGCAAAAGAACATGAGCACTTTAAACCTATATGTCGGGTCGGCTATTTGAAAATAACCTATCTACAAGCTCACAACCGCAACAACCATTATTACTTACTACCAAGCAACTTTACAGAAAGATTATCCCAATGTGGCTTATAATAAGTATACCTGGCAACACTCACTGACTGCAGCACGTTTACAGAAGCGTTAGCATTAGCACTAATTAGCAAAGAGTGACGAGAGCGACTAGTAGTACAAGAAAAACAGAAATGAGTGACACAGAAATGAGTGACGAGGAGGTCGAGGACAATGACAACAACACCGATGAAAATCCCGGTGGCGACTCTGGCGAGAGGGAAGTTGTGCTTGTGCCGAAAAAAGGACCACATTCATCCAGTGTGTGGAACTTTTTTGGATTTGATCCTGATGATGACTTATAAAAAGTCATCCACTTTAAGCATTGTTCTCGCATCGTCCCAACGACGTCAGGTAACACCACAAACCTATTAAATCACCTGCAACGTCACCATAAAATATTTTTGTTACAAGAGAGACAAATGTTGTCTGTTTAAATTAATTGTACTCACGTGACGTCTAAGAGTAAGAGTGCAATACATATTTTCATTGAAACGATGAGAATCGTGTGAGAATCGTGTGAGAATCGTGATCTCAATTCTTATGGAGGAAAATCGTGATTCACATTTGAGCAAGAATCGTGCAGCACTAGTGTCCGGGTCCTCGGCAGTAAGTCGGACCCATTTTCGGTGAGGGTTGGCCTCCGCCAGGGCTGCGCTTTGTCACCAATCCTGTTTGTAATATACATGGATCGGATTTTGAGGCGTTGTCGTGGGGGAGGGGGTCTGCAGTTCGGTGGACTAAGGATTGCACCACTGCTTTTTGCAGATGATGTGGTTCTAATGGCTTCATCGGTCTGCGACCTTCAGCACTCACTTGATCGGTTCGCAACCGAGTGTGAAGCGGCTGGGATGAGGATCAGCACCTCCAAATCTGAGGCCATGGTTCTCAGCAGGAAACCGATGGACTGTCCACTCCAAGTAGGGAATGAGGCCTTACTCCAAGTGAAGGAGTTCAAGTATCTCGGGGTCTTGTTCTGGAGTGAGGGAACAATGGAGCGTGAGATGGGCCGGAGAATCGGAGCAGCGGGAGCGGTACTGCAGTCGCTTTACCGCACCGTTGTGACGAAAAGAGAGCTGAGCCAGAAGGCAAAGCTCTCCGTCTACCGGGCCATTTTTGTTCCTACCCTCACCTATGGTCATGAAGGATGGGTCATGACCGAAAGAACGAGATCACGGATACAAGCGGCCGAGATGGGTTTTCTCCGCAGGGTGGCTGGCGTCTCCCTTAGGGATAAGATGAGAAGTTCAGTCATCCGGGAGGGACTCGAAGTTGAACCGCTCCTCCTTCGCATCAAAAGGAGCCAGTGGAGGTGGTTCGGGCACCTAGTTAGGATGCCACCTGGGCAAAGATGGATGGATGGACTTTGTATACATGTGTTTTTATTATTAATAGTAATAATACTTTTATCATTTTTGTACACATTACTTATTTAAATGACTGGTGGCAGTGATTTTGCTCTGCTATGGTGTGAAAATACCTTTAATGACAACAGTAGTAAGCATTAATTGGTTATTAGCCAAGTAGAAAAGTTGTAAACAACAACAATTACACTGGCATTGTTTGTTTAGTTTTGAGTTTCTAAATGATGTTGTTTTCTCTCAACAGATCCTGCAATTTGTTCTCCAAAAAACAACCCTTGATTTTTCCAAACTCCAAACAACCCAAAGGCACTTTTAAGAGCCACGTCTGTCTTGTTAAACTGTCCTTGCCGTGTTGTACTTCATAGCCTCTTCCTATCTCTCTTTTTCTTTCTCTGTCTAACTCTGTTGTCAGTCTTTCGTCTGTGTCTCTGTCTGTGTCTCTTCACTATAATGAGTGATTCTGATCTCGAGGATCTCCTGAGAAGCGCAGATGAGCTGGTTGAGCAGAAAGAGTTCAGGGATGACCTACGGAGTGCTGATGATTTGCTTTGTAAACTGGAAGCAGCAGCAGCAGCAACAGCAGTGCCATCAGCGCGAAAGGTGTGCTGGAAGAAGAGAGACAGTGAGGGAAACTTGATCTTTGCAAGACCACGTTCAACCCGGAATGACTCCAATCAGGTCAGTATAAGATATATATTTCTAGGCACTTGAGTATATGAAATGAAAGAAAACATAACTCTTGGTAAGGGAAAAGTAGTACAATGTAATGGTATACATTTAAAAAAATGTTTTTTCTGATACAGCTGGCTGCAGTCGTAAAACTGATCCCCCCGTTGATGCTCCTGACTGTGATCTGGTCTTTGCTCCAGCTATCGCTCCAGAGACTGTTGGTATGTACTTCATTTGGTCTGGTTAGCCCGAAACAGATATTCATACTTGTATCTTTATGTGATACGTACTTCATTTCTAAACTTCGTCATTTGCTAGAATTAAGAACACAGTAGTTAAAGCTTTCAAAACCACTCCATCCAGTATGTTTTAAAGAAAAATAATCATGCTTTGGACTTTATTGTACCATTTTAACAGAGGGGTTTCTACGAGACCTCCAGCAGTCTCTGAGCAATACTACAGGAGATGAGGTGGTAGCACAAACCCCAAGTGCTTCTCTGCTGGCGTCGACCAACTGGAGCACTCGAAAAAGTTTTTTTTCAGAGAGCTGGAGGGCAGCGAGACCACATCTGGTTAACACCGTAGTGGCCCAAGCAAATGTAGGAACACACATTTGCCAACAGTGTTGGAGCAAAACGTCTGTTGTCCGGTGCCGAGATTGCCGACCACATCCCTTCTTCTGTGCTGATTGTGATGTCAGCATGCACACCAGACACCCCCTCCACAACAGAGATGCTACTACTGCAGGTTACTTCCAGCCATTGGCCCCAACAACACATGTAGTAAATATGGCCCTTTGCTCCTGCGGTAAGTTTTGGTTTGTGAATGTACATTTTCTTGCTGGACTTGTTGAGAACTTCATTTTGAAAATGTGAGCTTCCTGAAGATCTCTGATATTTCCCAGCAGTGTGCTTAAGTCTCTTTTTAATCTTCTGATGTAAAATTAAATCCTAAATCTGTCACATAACAATAATGTATTTCTCAAAAGAGACAAATTATTTTTAATTTCCATTTGAATTTGTTTCCAGTGCGGTTTGTACCTGTGGAGATCCCGGACAAAATCTGTGGTTGTGCATCAGAGTCATTGAGCCTCAAGCCAGGAGAGACTGTGACTGTGATCACAATGAATGGGAAGAATGTTTGTCTTGTTTCTTAAGATAGATGTTATTGAAGTTTCTTCTTGATAATATCCAACCCTTCTCAAAGACATGTGGGATAGCTTGTTTATTAAAACTTAACATGGGTATTGAGTAAAGAATACCAAATGCATTAAAAAAAACCTTGTCTGTTTTTCAAGGACGACATGAGCTAAGCATGCCAGAGTTGGTGTTACGTTCCCAATTGGCTAGGGGAACAAAAGGGAAACGACACGACCAGAGTAGAATTGGTATATGTTACAGGTGTTTTATTCGTAACTGCAACTGAGCAAAAATGATGTACACGAACAACTTGGCCCAACAACGGGTCAAGCTGTTACGATCTAACAAAAGGGTCTCCAAAAGAGAGTTGCCCAGTACTATACAGAAGGAAAGAAAATACCTCACTTCTAAAGTGGAAACAAAACAATAAACAAAACGGGGCTGTGGGAGAACACAGCTGGTGCTGGTCTACAGGTGCTAATCACCCGGATCTAAGCAAGATACACAGGAATGCTAACCACAGAATACTATAACACACGGCTAGTCCGTGTAGCCAACACAGAACCCTACTAACACACTGCTAGGCAGTCTAACGAAGCACAGAGTACACACTGCTAGGCAGTCTAACGAACCACAAAGTATGACGGTAGTATAGCGAGGCTTGAGGCGTCTGTCCCATAATACAGAGCCTCCAGAGTGATGATTGTCCCCAGCTTTGTAGTCCTCTCCAGCAGGTGTGCGCTGGGCTTGCACAGGGATTGGAGAACGTCGGGCCCGGCGTGCTCCAATCAGTGTCCTCGGAAGTGGACCAGGAGATGACAGCCAATGATGTTGGGGCAACCACACAGCTCATTTACATAATCACACACAGCTGCAGACAATCCCAAACAGGTTACCGATTTGGCAGAAACAGCAGCCGTAACAGTTGGCTTGTGAAGCATGCTCTGCGACATGGACGACTGGGGTTGACGACCTTCTTCGGAGTGACTACTGGCCAGCTACCTTTCACTTCGCCACCATTTATGCCACAGATGTTTTCTTCTCATTTGAAGAAATGAAAATGGCTGCACCTGGACTATCCTTTCAGGCATATTTAAGGATGCTAGATCAGCGAACGTTGCGCTTCGGCCGTGTGAGTATTGAAGTTACTTGTCCTTTTTGATCTATTTGTATTGTACAAATTGTAAGCTGTGTCCTTATAATTTATAATTTATTTTTGACATATTGACTGTTGATGTCCTTATTTTGTTATAGACTGGGAAGATCTCAACTGACAGCTTCATCAAAAGTTTCTTTGAGTGGGAGGCTGTGCGTTATGAGGTGGACATCATGTGCAAGGAGGAGCCCTTCACCTGTCCTGCGTGCAGCCCTGATATGCTTGCAGTTTCCGTGGATGGAAACCGCAAGCATTACCGTTTCAAGAATGCAGCTAGGTACTATAGAAAATATATAATGTCACAGTATTTGAACAGATAACGAAACAAAAGTATCTTGATGTGAACTAATCAACCTTATAATCTGAGATGTCATACATTGCTCCTTTGATTTATTTAGATCTGAGGAACAGGCCATCTTTGACGGTGTCTTTATAGCCAGGGATGAAGACGTCTCAAGATTTGTGGACTATATTCACACCACAACCAAACATGTAATATTGCAGACTCTAATTATGTATAATAGAATATAATATCCTAATGAAGGATTTGGTTATGTAAGTCTTTGCACCATTTTCATCAATACATTTTTATATATTAGGTCTCCGGAAGAGGTGTTTGTGGAGGACAGTGGTCGGCAGCCAGAGAGACCTCCCAAAAATCAGCCAGCTCCTCCCATGAGGAGGGACTAGAGCTTGCCGTCTGTCGACATGGAGTGCTCCTCTGTGCTCTCAATATGTACAGGGGAGAAATCTTTGCTTATCCCCTGTACCTACAGACAAAGCTGGCCAGTAGTATGTTCTTTTGCATGGATGTGACCTGCAAATATTGGCCCTACCTCCAGAGAATCACAAAAAGCTGTCCAGAGCTCCAGCATCTTCTCGACATGAAGCCCTTTCTCTCAGTGTTTCATGCCAAAGCGCATGACTTCAAATGTGAAGTGAGGAATTGTTACCATGTGACACAATCACTTTATGTAAAAACCTCCTTGTGAATAGTGACAAGTTGTAACGAGTCGTACTTTTGAATATATTTTAAACAGGTGAAATGGAGTGGGGCATATCAAGAGGGGGCTGGACTAACCCTAGGGGAGGAGGTGGAACAGGTCAATGCCTTCCTCTCTCGGATAGCAGTGACCACAAAATACATGTCAAAAGCAGGTGAGTTACGATAGAAGCTTTACTGTCAGTTTTCAAAAAAAAATCAGAAAGGCACAGATTACACTAGCAAATTACACCAACAACACAAACTCATAAAAGCTCATTGACGGTTATGACCATAGAGCACAATTTAGGATGGCAATACAGTATAAACCCCAGTTACAGTATAAGAAGTAAGAGGAATAGTAATAACGTGATATTCTCTTTTGCAGGACGTACAGACATGCTGACGCTGATGGCCATGCGCTGGAATCAGCAAAAAGTCAGCAACTTGGCCACCTCACTGTCCCGCAGATATCTGAAGGTAATAACATAGTTTTAGAATAATGACATATTCTTAGTTAGAATTATTTGTGGCTGCAGCCTAAATGTAGATTTCTGTATTTACTTGTCTTTAATTGTTTGACGTTTGTAGACCACAAAAGCTCTGGAAAAGCAATTGCAGAACCTGGAGTCCATGAAGGCTGAGTTGGCAGTGACTGAAAAGCAGCTGGAAGACTGGATCAGAGATGTGAATGAGTGGGCAGAAAGTGAGGACAATCTTAATGAAGTTTTTCAACTTTTTTGGAGTCATGATTTATCAATTTATTTTTAATTTTCAGAATTAGTGATAACCCTCTATTGACATTTGCATGACTTATTTTTCATGAAGCATATGTAATAAAATAATCTTAAAACATTTGATCAAATGTCTGTTATTGTGAATTACTGTGCTTAATACGCCTATTTCCTCTAAAAAGCAACAACAAACAACCCAAGGGATGCTGCTGCCTTGGCCAGCAAGATCGAAATGCTGATAAGTGTCAAGAGACGTTCGCAGCGTCTCTACAAAGACACAGACAGCAACAAAGGTCATTCCCGGATCCGCCGCAAGATCAGGGATGAGAAAGGGGTCCTGACAGCCACAGTGGAGAAATACAACTCAATGGTTCCAAGCACAGAAGCTCTGTGCCTCGAAGCCATTCTGTCGTGGAGAAAGCTTGGCCATGGCAGCTACCAAACAGTGGTAAGTCCACCAGCCTGCTGAATGCTCACAGCAAATGTGGAAAACCTGATATATAAAACTATGTAAGACTTCATAGATTCTTTGAATGTTGATCTTTCATACACATGAATTCATGTTTTGTCATAAATGCTTTCCAGAGTCTTTCGACCTCAGGACAAAGAGAAGAGCGTTCGACCTTGTCATGGCAGTGAAGAGATTACAGGAGGAGAAGAAGATTCTCGTCACAGAAATGAACCACCACTGGAAGGTCCTTTCAACCCGCAGTGATTCCCTGAAAGAGCTGTCCTGCCTGCAAAGTACAGTATATATTACATTTTTACTTTGCATGACTTTACACATCAGTGATAGGTGATGAAATAACTGATATTGTCTTTATCTTATCTTAAGATTCACCATTGGGCCTGAGCGAAGACGGAATGAAAGGTCTCCAGAGCATGTTCAGGAAAAAGCAGCACGACATCGGAGAAATTAAGACTCATGCGAGACGATGCTACCAGCACGTTTTGACTGGAGCAGAGACCATCAGCTTCTTGCAAAGTGTTTCAGATGAGTCTTCTGACTGCGACTCTGACAGCTCTGATGACACACGGTGAAGCCCCCTCCAGACTACCTTCTATTTATCATCTACATGCTCCCCCTCTGTGAAATACTCTGCCAACATGGTCTCAACTTCCACTCCTATGCCGACGACACCCAATTCTACATCAGTACCAATCCATCATCCCAGCTACCCCCACTGTCACTAGTCAACTGCCTCTGCGACATTCAAGCCTGGATGTCAACAAACCTACTGAAACTCAACAAAAACAAAACAGAGCTCATGGCTGTGGCCCCAAAAACACTGCTCCGGAAGGTTGGAGATCTGCTCCTCACCGTCGATGGCTGCTCCATCCAGCCTGGGCGTCACTCTGAACTCTAAACTCACCTTCAACTCCCACATAAGGTCTACTGTCAAAACCGCTTTTTTTCACCTTCGAAACATCTCCAGACTCCAGCCCTCTCCCCCCGACCCCATTGCAGAAACATTGATAGATGCCTTCATCTCCTCCCGCCTGGACTACTGCAATGGAGTTCTGTTCGGGGTCACCAGCAAAGACCTGGACAGGCTCCAGTACGTCCAGAACTCTGCAGCCAGGCTCCTCACCCGCACTAAGCCCTGGCAACACATCTCCCCGACCCTCCTCCACCGGCTCCCGGTCAAGTCACGCATCCAGTACAGACTCCTCCTGCTAACCTACACATTTCTCCACTCCCTAGCCCCTGCATACATCTCTGACCTCCTTCAGCCCTACACCCCCTCTCGTCAGCTCCGGCCCTCCGACAAAAAAAAATTACAAATTTCTTAATGTCTTAATATGTATGTCCAGTAAGTTTTTCTTCAGGTTGTTGAAGGCATTTTCTATCATTTCATTTTATTCAGATGTTATTACATGTCTACTCTGAAACACTATGTAAACAATGTCCCATAACAATAAAGTTGATCACAATTGTTTTGACTGTTCACTCATGTTCTGTTTGTATCTCTGTTTAGCAAACACACATTGATTAGCACCATGAGGGGGCGGATAAACCTTTTTGTGTGATGTTTTACAAATCAGATATTCATGTGTAGATAGAACTCAAATATGTGCAATAATATAGCTATATCCTGTATAATTATGTGATAACATGAATAAAACATCTTCAGGTGTTATACATATCTGTCCTACACTAATAATAAAACAGATAAAATGGCATTGTATTCTGTGTACCTCATTTGTTTCATCCTCATAAATGACCTTTCACACACCATCAGTTGCCTGTTTTTGACTTCGCCTACACCAGGTACAATGCATAAGCCTCATATAGTCCATATTGTGCTTGATAATGATAGTTAGATTAACATAATGTGTTTTTGATAGCATTGTATACCATGTGTACTTTATACGTTTGTATTATTCACCTAGTGGTTAAAGCACGTTATTACACGTTTAGAGTCATTGCAATGCAGGTAAGGTTGTGTTGCTAATCTCTGCTGCATGTTTGGTTGAATAACGGCAGATATGTAATATTCAATGCAGCCGAACCGTGTATTACAATGCCGTTATGTGATGACTTTCAAAGAGAAAAGCAAGCACACTCGGAATAAAGTATTATTATTTTTTTTTAAATGTTTTCAGATTTCACATCGCATAAACACCATTTCCCAACGTGCATTGCGGCTAAACCATCCAATCACCAAGCTGAGGATCTTGCCTACGTCTGTTTCTGGTATTTGTTTATGACAATGTGATGTGAGATGTGAGATGGGGAAAATAACATATCTATGCCACCATTTTAGATGCGGATTTTGTTAAACTAATACGTTTGCGCTGTGCACTATACATTGAAGGGGAAGGGGGTAGCAATAAAGATAACACCATTAAACAGTTACACAACATAACAGAAATAATATCGATAGCAGATGTCGAAACATCTTGAAAGGGATGTGCAAAATAGCCATTTCATACAGTCTTTAGTGAACGATTAGAGAATAACGAGTAATTAATATACTTTATAGAGATCTGCAGATAAATGTTTAGTCTTCTCAAGCACCAACTATCAAATATCTCTCCTGATTGTTGGCACTTGACAATCACCTTACCTGAATTTGACTCAGGTGTAACTAAACACCTAAACATCTGCTTTAATGGTTGTTTATATTTCACATTAATCAGAATCTGCAAAGTAACTAAGTTAGATGTAGTGGAGTAAAAATACCAGGTTAACCTCTGAATTGTAGTGGAGTAGAATTACAAAGTAACAATGAATTGCATGTTTTACATGTTGCTGTGTATTATAGCTGAGGATTATGGGTAGTGTAGTGTCTTCGGCCGTCCTAAACTCAGAAAAAACTATCTCCGAATCGAAGGGGGAAAAACACAAAATCATTGTACACAATTTAAACCAATCAATGTTGTGTAATCTTGTGTTTTGGAGTTGATGAGTAATGCAAATATCACTGTAAAATCAATCGACATTAGAGAGAATACTTATTCACCTTTTTCCTATCTTCTAAATATGACAGAAATGTACTTGCTGACAGTTAATGTATCAACGTCCCCATTACTAGTTTCAAAAACTAAACCTTTCTTATTTACACTATTGTCTTTGATTTATTTCCCAAATCATGTTTATGGATTTAATGATTGTCGAATACAGTTCAACGGGGGAGTAAAACTTTTATAGCAAACCAGATAAGTCACATGTTGACCTGACAAATCCACATTTTCAAATAGTGCTTTTCACAGGAGCCAAATTGTGCTACATTTCAGGTGAATACTTTGATAGTAGGTTTAGAATAAGTTTCTAGGTTTTAATGCTACAAAACATAATGTTTCTCATATGGTCCGTTGCTGCAGGACTGTCACGTATCGTCTTTTAGAGATGCTCCTGATGTTCCAGGCCCTGGCATTTAGAAAATCTGGTCTGCTCTCATTTCCACGTTTTTGGGCAAATTCAAATTGTACCAGTATTATTCATATGACATACAGAAGACCATAACAAAAATGTATATCTATCTTGCAAATAATGATTGTCACATTTGCATTAACATACCAAACATTTTAAAAGGCTTTACCCTATTGAGAAATAATTTTACTAAAAATACACAACAGAAACAACAATTTAATGAAACCATTTATTTAAACAACTTATTGTGTGTGTGTTTCCATTGTTCTGAATGAGAGATAAACCTCTTACATGTGAACGTTTTGTGGAAGAACCGTAACAGATATCTGTGAAATTTCAAAACGTGAAGCATGTCAAGGAAGTTGAGTATCTGAAGTGTAATTTTTGTGTACTTTCGCGTTAATAATGTGGCCTTTTTGGCAGTTTAACTAAAGGTGTGCGGCTGCTACCGTGAGGAAATATCAGCCTGAAATTACAATGGGCTTTAATGGAATGTTTTTGTCACTTCATGCCCTCAAGAGGCATTTTGTTGAATTATTTTGCTTAATTATTTGTCATTTTTCAAGCTACGAGATGTTCCTACGTTTGTCATGAACAATTATGTCTCAGGAATGTAGGGTTTGGGAATTATGGCAGTTTAAAAAAAAATATGAATGCGAAACTCTCGCTGTGACATCACACACTCTAGTTAATGTTAAAATGTGAAGAAAACCTCTTTACCAAGGTCTGAACAATGTTTAATATCTCTAAAAGTAAGAATCAGATTTAAAAGTTGTGTTACACGAATAATGTCAGAAAGATGTGTAACATTATAAAGTTGGAATGAGGTTTCTGAGTGAAAGTATGAAGGAGCAGTTAGCAGTTGAATTCACATGAAGATTTGTTGAAGTCTGAAGATTTTCTCCATTGACTTCAATGGTTAAAAATGTGATGTATTATGGGATGTATCTCTGGAATTATGAAAGTTATGAATGAGAAAAGTAATAGCCATCGATTACCGACCGAGCTGAACGTTTTGATGTTTGAACGGAATGTCTGCGATGTTCAATGCGGGAGGAGAAGAGGGCCAAAATACTGGCGGAATAATAATAAACTTTCCGTGCGTAGAATAACAGATAGTGGGAATGCTGTTTATTCCCACTAAAATATGAATATGTCATGCTATATATATTTCTGATGCTTAATCAGGCAAGTAAGTCAATTTAAAATAGGATTTGAAACAGTAGATTCTTCTCAATGTCCCTCCTCGACTCCTCTCTCCCCCTCCTCCGGGACTTGACCCGGAAATCAATCAAGACACGCCATGTTGAAGGACGTCACAATCCCTTCAATGCAAACGGAGGAGTCGAGGAGGGGTGATGGAGGAGGCTTCCAGAGGAGATGAAAGGGAGGATACACGAGAGCAGACTACGCGGAAGTGTTCTATTTCGTATATGGCTTCGCCCTCTAAGGCTATCGCTATTGGGTAATCCCCCTGCGCCCCAGCGCAGCACTGAAAACTTGTAGTCCACGCCCACCCGCAAGGTGGGCCCCACCCTCGGGCCTCCTTCCGGTATAAATAGGAAGGAGGCTCGGCAATCTGCTCCCTCTTTTCTTCAGCAAACCAGCACAGTTACTGAAGCACAGCAATTGAGAATCATCATGAGCAACAACTGCGTCCGCGATTGTCCCTCATGTGGCTCTGGGTTCATAATGAGTTATGACCAGCAGAGATAAAAGCAGTATGCGAATCCTGCCTGGGGTCAGAGCACGCGTACGAGGCTCTAAACCAGCAGGTAGCATGCACACACTGCGCCCGTCTCCCCTCGGGCGACAGGAAGCGGAGAGCGGACGCTCTTGCTGCTGCGGCCGAGGAGGACGATTGGCCCGTCCAGGCTTACGAGCCGCGGACGGGGCCTAGTGTCACTGGGGCCGAGTGCCGGGCAGGAGTCCGAAGAAAAGCAACTCCTGCCCCGCCTCCCTCCACGGTTCACCGTTCGGTTCTCCCCTCCCTCCTCTCCTCCGGACGGGGGAGACAGAGTCGGAGCAGGGTGCCAGCTTGGCGGCCGAACATGCTTTCCCCCTCTCTGTCACCACAGCGCAGCGGCGAATAACATCGCGCGGCTCTCCAACTCGGTGGTGACACTGGTAGAGCGGTCCACCACCGAGGCAGAGGAAATCAGCAAGGCGGCCAGCACGGCGCTCATTCTGTGCGCGTCCATCGCTGTCTCCCAGGCGAGGATTTCCGCGTGGGTGACACAGATCCAGCGCCACCTCTGGCGGAAGCAGGCGTCTGTTACGGAGACGGCCAGAAAAGTGCTACTGGACACTCCA